GGGGGGCAGAGCCCCGGGACCCGTGGGAAAGCGGCCGGAGGGCCAGCCAGCGCACCCGGCGCAGCCCTCCGCGCTACGGCCTCGGGTGCGAACCAGGCTGCAGCAGCCCCCCCGCGAGCAGAGCTCGGTGGGATGCTGGAGGGAGCTTGCAGCTTTCCAGCCTAGCTAGATCACGTCGGGATTTAGTCCCTCGTCTGAGCCCTAGGGTGATTCCCGCTTCACCAAGGGCCTTGCTGGGCTGGGGGGCTGCCCGCATGGAGGAGGTATGGGGTCGCATCCTGCCCATGCCGTGGCAGTACCAGCGCTGCCCCTCTTCCCCTGCAGTGCCCTCCCCATGTGCCACCATCCCTGACCTCTCCCGGGACCAGCACAACTCTGCCACCACCATGGGAAATCCAGGGGTCTTCCTCTCCGCGAGCAGGAGGGCAGGAGCTGGCAAAGGTGCTTTTCCCCACAGGCCTCCCCGGAGCTGCATGGCAGACGGGGACCTCCCCAGGTGGCTCATTTCCCTTTGGCAAAGGGCACTACGAGGCCAGGGCATTTCTGCTCTGCTGGTCCTCAACCACCCGCAGCCCCTTGGGGCCCTTCCTGTAGCCCCTGCATGGCAAGAGTCCCCCATGGTTTCCATCCAAAGTTGTCTAGAAAAAGAGGTAAAAAAGAAGGGAGAAATTTGCCACAGAGGGCGGGGGACACAGTGGCAGGGCTACAGTGGCATTTGCAGTCCAATTGCACCACCTAGAGGGAAGCAGGACAGGGGACAGACTAGGGACCTGCGCCAGCGACGAGTCCCAGGCTGGTGGGACTCAGCAACACAGCAGCGACACAGGTGTGAGAGCATCGGCCAGATGAGCTGCCCAGCCCAGCTCCCATCCATGTCCCCTGGCCCGTCTTACCTTCCTCATAGCCTCCATCTGCGTGAGGTCCCGGCGGCGGAGGCGCACCCAGCGCCGGCGCCGGTTGGTGTGGTACATCTTCTCAGCAGGCACCCAGGCCTTGGGCTTGCGGTCTGGGGGGATGGTGATGCCATATTCCCAGCCTAGGCAAGAAGGAAACACCTGGGTGAAGGTGGGAGAAGCAGCCGCCGCTCGGCAACTCCTCTTTATGTACGCTCCGGGTTGGAACGGTTTTAATAGCCAAGGTTGTTCTCCAGAACATGGATATAACGTGCTTCCCCAGCCTGTTGGTCCACAGAGATAACAACCTACTGTCGCTGCTGGCTAATGCACTCTGGGGATGCCCAGGTGATGGAGCCAAGATGCCAACCCTGGACCAGCGGTCAACTTGTGACCGTTTCAGACGCTCTCTGGCCTGATGCCTTCTCCTCAAAGGTCTTCCTGAAGAAGAGGCTTGCCTTTCCCCAACAGTGAAAATGATGTGCCCTCGCAACCACCCACCCCACAGACCCAACCAGAGCCAGAGTGGGTGAGAGTGTCCCCAGGGCCCAACCCAGTCCCCTGGAGCCAGCAGAGAGGCTCACGCAGCCGCAAAGGATTGCGCTATTGTTCGTGGTGCTGCATGGGACCATGCAAGAAAACACTGCAGCAGGCAGAGTAAAGGGGATGGAAACACCACAGATGCCCACAACCGCTTTCTGATACCTTTCTCATCCACAGCTCTGTTAAGGTCGGTGTCCCACTCAATGTCTTCCCATTTCCAGCCTGGAGGACACTCGATCTCGTCCTTATGCAGCACTTTCTCCCCGTTCTGTGGAACATAGTGTTTTTATCAAACAGTGCCCAGTGGGTCCCCACATTTTTCCTGAGCTCTACAGGGTCGTACTGCAGCGGTGGCCTTGCACTCGCGGGGTTGCACCTGCCTGTGCCATTTGCAGACCAGTCCTTGAAGGTGAGCCCCAGTGAGCAGCTCAGCACAGCCCATCTCCTCACTAACCCCAGCACCTCGTGGGGCTTTAGGGAAGTGTCTCAAGTTGTAGGTGAACTCTGGGTGAGGGCGTGTTCAGGCAGCGCTCAAGGAGGCATCTGCCCTCCTGGAGGAGTGTGAACGAGGTCCTCATCCCTCCTGCCGCAGAGGACCTTCAAACTTGCAAAAGGACCTGCTGACTCGTTGACAACCCGCCCTTTTTCCCAGCAATGCTGTAATACGCCATGCTACGGGTGAGACCAACACCCTCCTCCTGGTGCTCCTCGGTCCTTACCACGTCTGTGTAGGCATCCGTCATGTGGATCCACTGGCCCCCAGGCAGCCGGACCTGGTTCTCAAACACCTCCTCCACGAAGCTCAGGTGGCCAGCATCCGCATCATGCAGCAACCTGCAGCCCCAGGAACAGGCAGTGGCCTCAGAGGGACCTCATCCTGCCCACATGCTCCCACTTTTCAAGCAGCCACTGCCATCCTGTCTGTGCTGTGTTCATGCAGCGCCCAGCACCCTGGGTTGTGGCCTAATGCAGGGGCACCAGAGCATCACACCTTGCATTAATGTCGTCGTGCATCAAGGACACTCGAAAGTGCCAGCACTGCACCTCCTCAGTGCACCGAACCTCCAGCCCCCTTTTTGGGGTTCCCTCACTAACAGGTCAGTATGTTTGCTCAGCCCTTTGGGACACCCGGGTAAACAGCGCAGCCCACCCACACTCAGGGCGTCACGGCAGGCCATCACTCACGTCTTCTCCGGGCAGATGAACCAGTCTCCAGCCCACGTCCAGCCCGCGGAGGGCCGGAAGCTGTCCTTGGGCAGTTTGATCTTGCCAGTGACATCAGAGTATTTGGGATAAGTCAGGCCAGTCGTGCCCCAGTTCCCGACCAGTGCCAGCTTGGTCTGATTCTCATACTGGGAGAGTAAAAGCAGAGACATTTTTGCTTTAGCAACAAGGTAAGCCAGGTACCAGGACAGAGACCCTCGGATATCAATGCAAGGAAATCAGTGCAAGGCACGTGAAAACTCCCTTCCCTCTTGGAGGGCTCCACCCTGAGGATACACCTCCCGCAAAGAGCGTAACCCCAGACCCTGCCCACGAGGGAGAGAAAAACCTCTTCAGGCTGCACAGCTGGGCAGGTCCCCGGGAGACACGCTAGGAGAGGAACTCACGGTTTCGGCGAAGACAGAGAGCTTCCCTTCGGCGTACTGGTTAAACTCCTTTTCATCCACAGACAGCCCAAACCAGAGCTGGACCCGGATCTGGGCTGGAATCTTGGGACCCGTCGCCTCCTCCTGCGGGTACTGCCGAAGACAGAGCCCCATGAAGGGAAAAAGCAGCCTGTTGAGGGCTGGTAAATGCAAAGAGCCCCCCTTCTCTGAAGCACGCTACATCCCGCTCGCTCCTTCGCCACCACGGAGGTGTGGGGAAACTGAGGCACACAGCGCAGGGGCCTGCCCGAACCCCGGGGAGGAAGACGGGACACCAAACCCTGTATGCAAGCCCCGGGCACGGCACTGGCACACACCCAGCGGTCAGACGACCTTCAAGGCTAAGACACCAAAACGAGCCAACATACTTGAACAAAAATAGAAAAAATGAACAGGGAGATGCCTTGCTGGTTTTTTTTTTCCTTCTCTCATTCACTGTCCTCCTCCAAGTGATGCTAGTTTTCCATCCAGAGTGAAATTGCAGAAAAAGTGTATTTTTTTTTTGTTCTTTTTTTGCTGCCAGCTGGGCTTGGTTTTGGGGTTTTATTCAGTTCATTTTAAGTCATTTTATTTTTTTAGAGCTTGTTCAGCACTGATTGTCTGCTCCCAAACTGGCACGCAGCAAAAGGCCAAAGAAATATCATTTGAGATGTGAGAAGTGCTGTAAGTGCCTGGCAAAGGCGGCCGCAGTTTAAATTTCCTGGGGTGGCAGAGGGTCAGGAATTTGGAGAAAACATAAAATAAACTAAAATCAAAATTAAAAAAAAAAAAAAAAAGCACTGTCTTGGCCAAATCATGTTCCTCTTTGCTGCCCTGGCAGTGGCAGAAAATAATCAAATATTCATAGGGTTCTAATTCAGGCCTTTCCGTGGAAGAGGAACGAAACTCCACCACTACCTCTTTACAGGTTTCCCTGTATAAAATAAAAGAGGATCCTCCTTTATCTTCTCGCCTTTTTTTTTTTTTTTAAATGTCTTAAAAATAACTCTCTATGCACACACTCGTCTCCACGAAAAACCACCGTACTTTCAGAAATATCGTCTGCAGTTTCCCACAGTTCTTGCCGCAGCAGTTGGCGACATTCCTGGAGAAGAGGACCTGGTGGGCTGGCACCCGGGCGTAGGCAACGCGCTTGTCTCCCTGCAGCATCCAGATCACTATGTCTGGCAGGCTGTTCTGGGGCTGGAAAACACGTTTGCAGACAGACGTTACCGCTTTCGGCCTGCCCCGACCCATACAGGGATTCAGTGGAGAGCCGCACTGAAAAACGAGTCGCGTGGTGGGATCTCATCGGCCCCCGGCGCAAGACAAGCAGCCCCAGGAACTGCTGGAGAGCTGCTCCAAACCAGCCACGGGGAAGACCTGTGGTTATTATTATTATAACTACTATACCATACCCAGGGGCATTTCAAAGCCTCAGTTATGAGATGTGGGTCGTGCCACGCCAAGTAACGAGGAAGAGACACCTGCAAACACCCCGAGAGGTGACTCCTAACTCGCAGCTCCAAGCTGCGGCTGGGGATTTAGCTGTCTGAGCAGAGCCGTTCAGCCAGGAACGAGGCTAAGCCCCAGCGGCAGGGTGCAGTGGCGCTGCAAAGCCTCGCGCCTTCCCGATTCCCTTCGGATAATCCTGGTGGCAACAGCAGCAGCAAGGACACAGGGACTCGGTCTCCTGCTGTTTTCACTCCCTTGTGTCTGCGGAGTTCGAAGTTGGCTCCGCGCACTTCACCGTTAAAAAAGGAAAGCTTCCTGCAACATCTCCTTTGGAAAGCACCAGAAAACCAAAGGCTTGGGGCTTATAGCACAGTGCTATTGCTTATTAATCGCCCCTAAATCTCCCATCCCTCTCCCTTGGCTGGGAGATCTCCTCAGTCTCATCGGTTCAAAAGGAGATGCCATGAGATTTCCTGATGGGTCGGGAAGAAAAAGACTCCAGCGAGGTGAAACTCCCCCGTGTGCCAGCGCGGCCCCAGCATTACCTCCTCAGCCATGGCCTTCAGCCGGGAGAGCCAGTCCTCCGCCTGCTCCAGCGCCGCGGGGAGGCTCAAGTCATCGTGCTTCATCTTCAGAGCCGCCTTCACTATCTGCTCCAGGTTGGTGCTGCGAAAGCGGTGCAGGTGCTGGTCCAGGTGGGTGCAGGTTGGCTTCCCCACCACGCTGGGCAGTGTCTGGCTGCAGGGAATGGAGACACCCATATCAGCAGCCCATCGGGATGCTTGCCCTCTCTTGGGGTTTCACCGTCTCTCTTTTTCTTTTATGTAAGCTCACAAAGAATTAACGAGCCATCAAAGATGCCTTTGGGGCGACAAGGAAGTGCCAAGAGCAAGGAGCTTCAAACCACACTCGCAGCCCTCGCATGCCCTGGCCAAGAGCACCAAGATGGAGCCACAGCTGAGCCCTGCACGTCTCATCACACACACTATGCTCACACACACACACACACACACACACACACATTTTAATTTAAATTGATTCAAGTTGCTGGATAAACGTTACAGAAGTCCAAGAACATCTTTTCTGGACTAAGCCATTTAAGGGGTTCCATGCAAAACGCAGTGATTTACAATGCTGCCATTATAAATGTTGGAGCTCTATTTTAACAGAAACAAAAGTGCAGCTAAAATAAAGTAAGGTACGCAATTCCCCCTCTCCTCGGGGTGGTAACAAGCCTGTCGTCTCACTTCACGGTGCCTTTTCCTCGCCTGCTGCCACTGTGTGAAACGAGACGGATGAACGCACGCGGGGACGGACAATTTACTAACCTGTTACGCACTCCCTTGATTTAGTAAATGCCACGGGGAGGGTGGTGGCTTTCGTGAACTCCAGTAAAGCCAGAATTAAGGAAGTCTCTGTGCTCCTGTTGTTTTCCAGGTCCCATATCCCATGCAGCACCAAGGGAAGGCCGGTTTAAGCAGGCGGGCCTCCCCTAGGTCTGGTGTCCAACTGCCACCCCACGTGGACGTCCTACCTACCCCAGAGGTCTCAGATAGTGTTGGATGCCTCTGTGCAGGAAGCTGCATTGAACTCTTAATCACTGCAGTTTTCCCTCTTGGGTTTGCAATTGAGAAATGAGATGCTTCAGGGATCCCTCATCCGAGCTTAAATTGTATCTCCGAGATAGATGGGCTGGAGTTGTCCAGCACAGAGGACCTGCCATGGCAGTTTTAATTTGTGAGTCCTTAAAGCAAACTGTATTGATACAGAACAGGAACTTCATTAAAGATGGAAAAAGAAAAGGAGAGATGTGACATTCTGCACCGTAGCCCAAAATAAAGAACATCATGCTCCAAAGAGATATATTTTAACTATCCACCCTGACTCTGCAGCAGGAGCCCAAGGGGACCACTCATTACGTATCCCAACTTGGCGCGTACTTGCAGTAGCTGCTCCGCAGAGACAGCGGCAATTTTTCTTCTAATACAGCAGAGAAAAGAATTCTACAAAAAAAGTGTCTGTGCAGGTCGTCTGATGTTATTGACTTCATTTGCACTAACTTGCAAACAAAATTTCGATTTTTCTACATAAAATCATAGTTATATGGCTATTTTTAACAAGAGACTTTGGGAGGGATGCATGGTAGGAACGGGGAGGATACGCTTCGTTCTCTTTCATCTCTTCCAAAGGAAACCGCTTTTGCTTCTTCTTCCAAATGTAGGTGGAGTGCTGTGAACGCTGCTAATTAAACCGATTGTGTAGTATCGTTCTGGGTGAGAAACTGAATTAAAATACTGCGTTTGGGTTGCAGATCCAAGCGCGCCAAAGTTAGACCGACTGTGCTACGTGAACTCAATTTTGTGTATCCACTTGCGTCATTTGTGTACCTATTACGGCAGAGCTTCGAATAATATGACCACTTGTTTTTTTTTTTCTCCCCCACAGTTTCTTCCTCACTGAGTGACCAAGAAGGACACTGCTCATCTACAAAGCGTACGACGGCTTTCAATCCAACACCACTTTGGGGCAGAAACTAGGACGTACTTCAATACCCTTGCAGGAACAGAAAAAAGGGAAAAAAAACACAGAACAAAAACAGCTAGATATATCCACTACAGTTGCATTTAACTTCAGAAAGACAAAGTAGAACACTACACAAAAAGGTGGAAGTTTGTTAAAAAGTTGCAAAAAGGAACAGCAAAAAGGGTTAAATCTTGCAGGCAGCGTGGAAATGCTTGAAAGACTCCTTATTAGAGAACATGTGTGCCATGTATCAAAGAGAGACTTTAAAAACCAGAATGATTAAACAAAGTTGTGTTCCAATATGAAAACAGAAAAGAACATAGACTCTACCCAATTAAATGCAAAAACACAACAAAGTAGACACAAAAAAAACAGTTGAGGAACCACCATTAAAAGCATTAAAGAAGCCTAATAAACATCCCTTTTCAAATGGACAAAAACACAGTAACTGCTTGAAAGTGCACTGATGACGGAGAGAGAAGCAGCATTTTTCACAGTAAAAAAGGTTGCCCCATTCTCTGTATGGCAGTTTGATGTGAAGCAGCTTTGGAAGAACCTCGCATCAGGGCCCGTCTCCACAGGGGATTTGTCTTGACAGCAAAGACGAGTAGAAGAGAACTTGGAAGAAATCAGAGTGAACAGCAGCAAATCATCAGTAATTCAGGTAGGGAATTGCTGGACTACTAGGAATGACCCTTAACTTCTTGATTAAACACGACATAACGGGGAGGAATCAGGGCTGCTGGTGTAGAGGGAAGCCACGTCTTGCACATCCGACACCATTGCCTGACGGAGTCGCTGCGGATGCGGACGATAACCAACATAGCCTGCCTGGAGGCAGCTTTCAGCAAGGTCCTTCTCCAAAGGCTCTGCTGCCATGGGCTAAGAGGAAGGTCCCCTCACGGAGAAATAGCTCGTCGTAAGAGAGGTGACGCAAGCCAGAAGCGCACAAGTCTCAGTGGACTGAGGCCACCAGTGCAATCTGAAGCCCCAAGGGACATGGGCCAGGGGCCATGATGTCAAACACACTCGAAGGCACGAAGGACAGCATAGCACAGCTCACCAACCACACAGAGCTACCCAGAGGATCTGGGGGAAAGGCTGACAGCAAAGAGTAGTTCAAAGACCTCACACTACAGCATGCCTGGCAGATGAAATTCAACTCAAAAAAACACCTGTGAGGAACGCTGTTGGGTTCAAATGCGGTGATGGGTTCTGCACTGGCTGTTACCATTCAGGGTATGAATTACTAGGAAAGAACCAAAGGGCTTCACTCCAAATACCACTGTGGCAGCGTATAAACGCATGGTGTATCTGCAGTGCAAACGCCATATGCAGTCCCAGTGCCTCCACCTCAGGGAGAGGTAACAGAATTTGACTGAAGAGCAAAAAGAATGATCAAAAACAAGAAACAGCTTCTAAACCAGGGCTTTCCTACCATCTCCTGTTTATTTTGACAGTGTCCCCCCTCCTGCAATGAAAGATGCACGGATTGAATTGACAGCCACCCCTTTTTCGTGTGGAAAAAGGATAGAGCATAGCACCCTCCTTGCACTACATGAAGCAAGGTCAGAAGCAGAAGAGCAAGATCTGTCCTTCAAGACCACGTTGCTGCACTGCCAGCACAAAGGAACAGCTCTTGCTGCCTGACTCGGGCTGTTTTCCAGTTTTGGGGCACTTGGCCATTTCATTATTCTTCTTTTCCTAACTCTGTCCATTTGTTTGCCATTTACAACCTCTTTTTTTCCAGAAAGCAAGAGTCTTCCATCTCTTCATGCAGACAAAGATCTGGAAAATAGAGCTGGGAAAGGAAATCCTGGGAGCACAGTGCTGCTCTGAGTAGAAACAGGAGGTGGGGACATCCCCTCCCGTTTGGATGCTGCCACCAGAGAGATTTGGATGAGGAGAAAGATGGCCCGTTCTCAGGGTAGGGAACCACTGGATCACCCTGAAGGAGAGGCAGGGGTTGTCCTATTGCTCGACTCTTCTAAACCCAGACCAAACTCTTTCCTGAAGATCTCTGCCTGGCCAGGCTTTGGTGCAGCAACGCCTCAAGGCTGCGGGACAGGGACGCTGTTGTGGCCTCCAGGCTTTCTGCCCTGCTCGCCTCCATGGGAAGGAGTCCACAGCACCTCCAAGCTCCTCAGAAACAGATGGAAACGCGGCTGTCGACAGAGAGGTTCAGCTGCAGGGGTTAACCAGCCCATCCAGGGGCAGAGAGTGCAGCAGGGCACGAAACCCCCTAGGAGGCTCCTGGAGCCCCAGCGGTGGGGATATTACCCTCATTAGCTGAGCAAATCCTGCCAGCCCTTGAGCCAGCCGTTCCTCCGTTGCAAGCCCAGTGCCAAGTCCTCGCGGGGAGGCAGGAGCAGTGTACCGCAGGAGCTCAGCACAGAGCAGGGAGAGGAGCCAGCGGGAACCACGGCCCTGGCACATCTCGCAGCAACATTTTTCCCCTCCCGACCCATTTAATTGAATTTGTTTTGGAGGGTGCAGCATCTCTGGAAAACCCAAAGCTGTGGCTTATCCCTCAGGTCACGTACCGCATACACAGAAGCGGTGGAATATTTACAGCCCTCAGAACGGCTCTGACCTTTCCAGAGGAGCCAGCGTGTGTGGGGGGCGAGACACATTGCCTTTATGAGGCTCAAAAGCAAATAAACAGGGAGGTTGTGAGGATGTGTGTGTTTTGCTAAGCATGCCCTCCAAGAGCACCTTTCCCGAGGGTCTGTGGAGCGTCTCCTGAGCGGCAGGGTCGGTTCATCCCAAGTCTTGCCTGAAAGGAGGAGGCAGCCAGCCCCAAACAGGAATTATGCAAGGGTCCAGATAGGCTGCGACCACGTGTGCGCGGAAGCCCAGCACCTTCATGACCTATCTTTGTGTCTTTCAAAGAGCGTGGGGAGGAGGAAGGAGGGTCTAAGTCTTATCAGCAGGCTCCGCAGCATCCCTTTAATCGTCAGGCAACTGATACTAATCCAGCTTGGCAGTGTATGTGTCCCATGGGCCAGCAGCTCTTGTGGAAGAGGTGGGTTTCAGTGGCCTGCTGGACACCTGGGACCGCCAAGCAGGAACAGTAATCCAATGCCAAGATGGCACACAGGAGCTCAGTGGCCACTGGGTCGCCTCACTGCAGCAGTTGCTTGCCACCAACAAGGTGTCTCAGTGCAACACAGGGCTGTTTCGCAGCTCAGCTGCTCCCAAGGTGAGAAAGCTTCTAGAGAAGCAGCAGCAAGCCCCTGGCTGACACATTCTTTGAATTAGGCTACAAGACGTTATTAATTCCCTTTGGCAAAGACTTGTCAGGCCTTTTGCGACAGCTAGAAAACACATTACAGACCCTGCTATTGCCCTTGCCCTGAATCCTTGGCTTGGAGTTGTGGCAGGGAAGCTCTGTGGCCAGAGGCAGGAAGGGAAGGGAATTAAGATTCTCTCCACTCTGAGATATGGTCATACCTGAAGGAGAACCACAGTTTAAGGCCCCCAGTGAGGTAAACCCAAAATCACCTTCCACTGGAAGCTGAGTTGGCCCTCAAATAAAATGGGATGGTCACATTGCGGCAACACTCCTTCCTGGGGCTGGCTTCTTGACTCCCACCAAGCGTGGTCCCTCCCAAAGAACGGGCCACAGGCACCCTGCCATGCACCCTCTCAGTAACGTTCAAGAGCTTCAGAAGTGCTTCGAAAGGCAAAGATGTTCCAGAGCTTCTCACCGTGCTGGCTGCTGTTGCCCCTAGAGTGCAATGATGGGATGGCAAATCCCAGATTACAGGATTTGAAAAACCCAGCACAAGGAAAAAATCTATATTTGCATGGCAGTGATGGCAACATGTCCCATGATCCTTGCTCTGTAGAATCTGCATAAAGTGCAAGCCCCCTCTTCTTGCACCGGGCTTGATTTGCAAACGTGAATTTGACATCCTCATGTGCCTCTATGGAAACAGCAATGGCCAAGAAAGGCCTAGAGGTGTCTGGAGACGAGGAAAACCCTGGAGATATCACAGAAAATGGTGAGCTGGAGATCGGATGGGAGATAAAGCCACAATTTAAACCCATCTGATAGCCTAGTCTTCACATGCCCTGTGTATGGGGGAACGGAGGGACTCCTGCACCCATCCGGCCTGCCCTGGCCGGGCATCAGACAACACGCTTGCACACCTCTTGCTGACACACAAGCTTAACGCGCGCTGAGGAGCCACTGAGCTGTGATTCCCTTGTGCTGCCTTGCAGAGGGCAAACGCGAACACGAGGCAGCTCCGTCCCTGCAGCCGGGAAGGGCTTGCTCTTGCCCTGGCTCTCGCCCTGCCACACAATGAGGCTCTTTCAGGTGGGCCAAGCTGCAGCCCTTGCATGAAGAGTGGAAATTTATGACTTGCTTTAAATGTCACCTTTTCAACTCCGTGCCTTGGCTCAGCAACCTTTGAAGTAAACATTAGCAAATGACCAGCATTTTTCAGAACGAAAAAAAAAGAAAAAAAAGGAAAAAAAAAAAAGAAGTCATCCCTTCCAACATAAATAAATGTTCTCGCAAGAAAAAAAACAAAACGCATAAAAAGGCTCACAGTCAAAACTGGCAGAAAATACCTGCAGTCGGCAATGATGTCATCCATCAACTGGGCAACCAGGGAATCCAAGTCACTCGGGGAGCAGTTGGCCTTGAGCGCAAGGTGGACCATCTCCAAGTTGGCTTCCTACGCAGCACGTGGGGAAGAGAGGTTACACACAGGGGACACTGCCCCAGAGCCACATGCCTCCCCACATCCTTGTGGCACAGACCCTCCTCCCTCATCCCTGGCAGACCAGGGCCCTGCACTGCTGCCCCGATCCTCCACTTTGGTTCTTACTGGAACCCTTTGGGAAAAAGATAGGGAAATACAGCAAAACTTCCCACCGATAGGTCACAAATCTAGGGAACAGCCTTCCCTCCTGCATCTGCTTTGGCAACCAGGTGGGTGGCACAGCAAAGCCTTGCGTTTGTGCCCCAACGGGGAATGCTTCCCCCTTCTCCTGTCCCATCAGCACAGCACGGGACCCAGTCCAGTATGGACTGGACGCCAAGGAGGAAAAGCAATAATCCAGGTGATGGGCAGCGCAGGCTGAGTGCAAGCCCACGCGTCGGCTTGCTGCACCGCCCGACCCACAACGCTGGGTGCCAAGAACCCCAAAATCTCCTAATTCACCCCATAACTCAGCACCGGTGGCTACACATAGCCCAGGCACGGGGCAACGCTCCCGCGAGGTGCACCCACGCTGGGTGGCCTGCACGCGCCGTGCTCAGGGCTCACGCTTGTGCGGTGCAGCGGCGTGGGGTGCTGCATGCCTGCAGGTCACAGGGCAATGAGGGGAGGCACCGCTGCAAGCCATGGCCGTGAGCAAGATCCTCTCTGAGCAAAATGAGGCAACGGGGCCATCCTTGCCCCCGCCCGCCGGAGACGGGCAGGCTCCGGCAGTTCCCGGCAGCCCTTTCCCGTTAGTCCTTCACCGACTGTACAGTTGCCACGCTTATTTTTAGCCACGTTCCCTCCCGTGTCGCCTCAGCGCGTCTTTCCTGTTTGCCTTTGCAAAGGGCTATTTATTGAAGCCAGATGTCTGCGAACGCGAGGCCCTCCCTGACTCATTCCCTCCCGGCCGCTCGCCGAGGACAGAAACCCCACGAGATGACATCACCCTCCGCCTGTCAGAAATGCTGGCTGACTTAATTAGCGAGGGCATGCTAACACGAAGAAGTACATGCAGCGGTGAGACTTGGGGCAGGCCAGCGAGGGAGATGTCCTCTCCCCTGCCTGCAGTGCCCCAGCCGCTCTCTGTGCCTCAGTTTCCCTTTCTCAGCTCTAGTTGCTTTTCCCTAGCTGCTACCAGCCCCTCTGCGCAGGCAGCCCATGCCCCAGTGTGTTCTCCTAGCCCTTCTCCCTCCCCATCTCCCCCTCTCTGTGCCCCCCAAACCCCTTGTCCTTCCCCCTGCCAGAGATGCTCCTGACAGCCAGGCTGACTGTGATGCCGAGACCGCTCCAGCTCCCCTTCGGAGGAGAGACGGGGACTCCCGATCCCATGTGCTCATTAAGGGTGATGGGGAAGAGCTGGGCTCAGCATTACAGCACAAGCTGCTGCCCACAGCAGAGTCCCCAGTACCATCCACGGACTCAGTGAGCAACCCTCGAACCTGGCCCAGCTGCCACCGCAGGACTCACCAGCCGGTCGGCTGCATGCTGGAGCAGGTTTTGGGCATCGGTTCGGTAGCTGATGTCTTCCCAGTAGGACGATAGCACCACAACAGGCTTCACGTTGCCCCAGGGCAGGTAGTAGTACTGGCAGCCTAGAGGACACGACACGCTCACTTCTGAGCTCATGGGAACAGCGCAGCGGGGCATCTCGCTCCTCGGGGCCAGAGCAGAGAGGAAAGGGGGCAGTGCACCATTTGGCCTGGGGCAGAGCCCTCCGCATTGCTCTTCTGGAGCAGAAGGACGTGGATTACGTTCTCAAAACCCACATGCAACAGTGTAATGCTTATCAAGGTCAAAACGGACATGTATGACCCTCCGCATCTGCAGCTGCTCCGTACATCACAGTGAGGACAGAAACCAACAGGAGATGAATTTGTTGCCCTGGTTGCTCCCGGCACCCCGTACAGGCCCTTCCAACATCAGATGCAGTCTGCACATCTTATCCCAGGGATGGAGCTCCTCAAGATCCCCTGAGAGACCGCTCCAAAGCACAGGCTTTGTTGTGAAACCAAAGGGGCACTGTCGGCTCCAAGGTGCCATGCAATGAGTGCCTTCAGCCAGCACAGAGGCTGGGAGAACAGCCCTGGCTTTCTCGCTCCTCCCTGATCACACTTGTACATGTTAGCTGCTCCTTTGAGGACCAGGGACCTCCGGCCTAACCCAGGAGATTAGCTGCCACCAGAACATTCCCCAGTTTGACCCACCACATGGATGGACGCTTGTGTCAGTGCAAGGAAGGGCGCAGGGTGACAAGGGGAACAAGACAGCGGACATGGAGAAAAGCAAGGGTATTTCCACTGACGTACCACTACATTGAAGTGCTTACAAGGCAGCAGCCTGGCACATGGCGGAGCAGCGCCACGGCAGAGGAAAGCAGCAAACCACAAGCACACACATCCCAGCAACTGCCATTCAAATCCCACCTTGCACAGCATGAGCACCACTCATTCCCCAAGCCCTCCCAAATCCTCTACGGATGGGGACATCTCCAAGACATCTTGGTAACCCCGGGGCACCCTTGGATGTCACGCTTGCGTGGCTCCCCGCAACACCCTGCTCACCGTCGAACACGGCCCGGCTGTACTGCGTGGTCGAGGCCAAGGGTAGGCAGGTGGTGTCGAACTTGTTGCCGTAGTTGCCGATGCTGACCTCAAACTGGATGGCGTCATCCACGTCCTGGAGCATGGTGGCCGAGTAGAAGGCAGCGAAGAGGCAGTACTTCCGCCGCCGCAGGTACTTCTGCAAGACGCACAGAGCCGTGCCGAGGGGGGGCACCACAGCAAGCGCGATCCCCCGCCATCCCGACGCGCCCCAGCCCAGCCCAGCCCAGCCCAGCCCCTGCGACGGAAACACTACTGCAGGGAAGAAGAGCGTAACCTATCCCCTGTGCTGGCTGTAGCCAAGGCAAGGAGTTGCAGCAAGGGAATTTCAGGTGAGGTATTTAAGAACCTGACAAAGGAGAAGGGTAGAACCTTCTCTACAGAAAATGCAGTGTAATCCTGCAAAAATGAATAAAAGGAGTGCATTTGTGATGATGTTAGATTTGGGACCAGGCTGCTTCTGAAGCAAATCACCTGCCTGTTCCCATCCACCACAGCTTGCTTTCTACCGCAGAGCAGCTCAGAGCGAGCAAGCAGGACGCATTGGGTGAAAGCGCAGCAGAAGATAGGGCCCAGGAGCACACCCGACTGCTCACGGGCTTGCACCCATCCATCCCCAAGGCAATTGCATTCCCCAGGTCCCAGCACCCTTCTCCAAACCCCACTGACCCCCAGCAAGCCCATTGGACAGCACAGCAAGAGGAGCCCTGACGCATTCCCATTACCTCCACCCGGAGGACGTCATCTGCAGCGATGTCCTCCACCTTCTGCTCAACATGGTCCGCCAGCTTGGTCTCCAGCTCCACGAGCAATCTGCCTCGATAAGCGACTCCCTCGCCCTTGGGGTAGGCCAGAGACTGCCGTTAGGACCACAGTGCCCTGCCCCTGCCTAAGCCCTTTGGCTGCGTTCCAGAGGAGCAAGATCAGGCAAACTATTTCTGCAAGTGCTTTGAAGACAGGGAGAGTTTGGATAGCACAGCCGTTTGCTCAGGTGTTTAGCCAGCATGAATAACAAGTGGGAGAAAATGCAGTGCAGCCTCCTAAAAAGCCAGTTCAGGTTAATAGCAGCCTTCATTTTGCAAGGAAGAAAGCTTTTTTTTTTTTTTCAGGCTGCACTTGCAAGAAGTCAACTTCACCTTTCCTAAATTGAGTGTTTCGTAAGGGTCTGGGAAGCCAGTGAACTCCCTGGGGCTGCCGTAAAGGTTGATGTAGCAGGGACCGAATGTCGGCAGGAACCCGAGTCCATCGTCCACTGGAGATCACAGGGAAAAAGAGCATTTAGAGAGTTAGGACGGGCACCTCTCCACCCCGTCCCACAGAGACCGGGTGCAGCCGGGCTGCGCCGTGGGGCTCCTGCCCTCCCAGGGCCCAGTCGCGCCGCTGGAGGCTGTCAAAACACTGCGGCATCCCACGCTCATCACTGCCGCTGATGAGCGGCGCTTCATTAATCTGCACTAATTCCCTCACTTGCAGGTGCTTGTCCAAACCCAGCTTAGGAAGAGGGGACAGAGCCAAGGGCAGAGCTTTTCATCCCCTTTGAACCCCAGGACCACTTACCTTTGGCTAGAGAAAGAAAAGGGAGCTATCCTGCAGTTACACGACATGCACAAATCTGTGCATTCGCAGCCCCGCTTACACGGTGGGGCTGGCAAGGAGGGATCCCAGCCCGCTCCTTTGGGCACTGGGAGAAGGGGAACACCACGTGGCTGGCGTGAATCAATGTAGCTGGGTTTGCTGCAGTGACCCGTGCTGATTTACACCAGACAAGGAGCTGACCCTGGGCTCTCTTGTTCAGGGCACACAGTAAGGCAGTGCTTGGATGAGAACCACTGGTATTTATGAAATCTCCAGCAGAAGGAGCACCAAAGGGGCAGAAAGAGTTTGTAGGGTCCTGCTTTAGGTTCCTAAAACAGCAGGCACCCACGCACAGGTCCTTCTGCAACGCACAGCACCGGCCCCGAGTGCTGAGCACACACCACATCTCAGGGCAGCCAAAGCCATCGCTGCCCAAAAGGGACACTCCAACTCCGCCAGACTGATGGACAGTGGGGACCTTTCCCCCTCACAGCCTGCCCCAGCTGACCCCTTCCCAATCCATAGGCCCTCAGACAGGCAGAGCAGGAGAAGGAAGAGGAAGAGGAGGAGGATGTGGTCTCGCTGGAGCCGTCCCCTCCTCTCCCCAAGGCGCTTAGGTTCAGGCAAAGCAGAGCCTTCGCTGCGCGAGCTCTGTCCCAGTGCTCCAGCCCTAACGGCAGCTAAAACAGAGGAAAAAATTACCCGACGATGACCACAAAACAAGAGGCTAAGGGGACGTACAGTCTGCGGCTTTCAGAGGCTTCGCAAGAGCAGGAAACTCATCTGAGGCATAAAGAAATGGAGAGAAGGTTAGGAGGTTGGTTAGGTGAGGAAGGTGGTTATGGGAAAGGAGAGCAGATGCTGCCAGGGGCTCTTGCTCCCAACAGACGCTATGGAGAGAGACGGGGGAAGTTATTAGGTACTAGTACTAGCCTTGCCCTCCCTTGAGGCAGGAGGTTCACATAAATCATGGCCTTGGGAGTGGATTTGAGAGTCCATCCGCAAGCCTCCACGTGCCTCAAACGCCAGGAGGACCTGTGGGGCAAGCGGAGGAGTGGGGAGGGGTCTCCCCTCACTTCCCGTAGGCTGGCCGCAGAGAGCAAGCCGTTCTCCTGGTAAAGGTGGTGTGCAGACACCCAACACAGCAGAGCACGGTGTTGCATCCCAAATCCATGCTATGCATGCAGAACCGCGTGTTGCAGAGCAGCGGGCTGCGGGGCACCGGGCCGGCTGCTTTGCACCATGTCTGTGCCCCAGCAGAGGCCACGTGCTCTCTGCCCGTGCCACGGCGCAGTCTGGCCATGCTGCACTTCAGCCGGGCTCGTGACGGGGATCAGTCTTGCAGGGCATCCAAGAGCCTCGGAGATGCACAAACCCATGGGAGCAGAGAGAGAGGAGTCAAGGCAGGGTGCAAACGTTAGCAAAGGTCACTAGTGTTACTCATGCAGGTTAGGGCAGCCTCTGTTCCCGGCTCTGCCACAGCTCCTAGCAGGTCCAGCAGCTCAGTCCCCAGCTCCTTGTCCTCCTGCCCGGCAAAGACGACAACATCAGCATCACCCAAATGATCCCGCTGGAGCTCATAAATCGGTCCTCTCCGTTTTGGGAAGTCACCGGGGGCTTGAAATGCCTCTTTCAGCCCAAGCTTCTGCTGCTGGACTTAAAATCCTCTTCCCGCACCCTGTATGATGGCCCTTAACCGGCACCTAAGGATGAGCTGCCAGCGAGAGCAGTGGGATCCTGGTGCATTGGGACTAGAGCATCATGCTACGTCTGCCAGTGAGCCTGCCTGTTCAGAGTCACTAACTGCCCAAGGGACTGCCGCTATCCCCAGCCAGCAACAGGGAGAGGAAGCACAAAGTAAGAAATCCTCATCATCGCAGCTCTGCGGACCACCCCTACCCATGCCCTTAGGAGGACTTAAAGATCTTCAAATTCCTGTCGGGACAAAACCCCAGAGCTGCCCCCAAGGGGCACCAGAGATCCTCCCTGTGCCACCGCGAGGCTGTGCCCAGCTGCCTGAGAGCGAGCGCGACTCTGCTGCCGTGCGTGTGCTCCACGGTTACGTGACGTGGACCGGCCGCCATCCCACCTCGTGGGTGAGAGCTGGTCACGGGACAGGGGAGCTGCAGGGATCCAGGAGGTGGTGACAGGCCAGCACACACCACCAGCCCCAGAGGGACCTCAACATCAAGAGAGGAGACTGCGGGACAGAGCAGGTTGCATCCAGCCCACAGACTGCAGATTGGACTCTTCTGTAGCATCACCACCTTGCTTTTCTCTGCCAACCCCAGACACTTCACAGAATTATCCCAGTGCTCTTCCACGGGCATGCACTGCAAACTGCCGTCCCACCACCTTGTTTACCTTCCAGCTCCCCACCGGGGGTCGAGATCTTGGACATGCACAGGTACGCCGTGCCGATGATATCGTTGTGCGTGAGACGGTCCCTGCAACACAGCGTGGGTTTCAACAGCAGCACGGCCCCCACGCGTCGCTGGGGATTCGCCCCAAGGGGCTCCTTGCACAGCGGAGGCTCTGCCAGCTCCCCACTCACCAGTCGGTGACGCGGATCCTCATCTTCTCGCACATGGAAGGGAACTAAGGGAAGAGGCAGAGGAGAGGAGCAATCAGAGGTGGTCGCCTGGCACGGGGTGGGCACCTGGGCCGGGGAGCCCCAGCAGGGCTTAGTCTGCCTCCCTCACCATCGCCGGCAGCGTGATGATCTGGTTCCACTGTGGGTTGGCGTTTTTCTCCAGGATCTTCGAGTAGAGCTGGAGGCAGGAGAAAAGACAGGAGAAGTTAGAGCCTGGACCGATCGGCCTGTCCCGGCCGTGGAGCACGTTGCCAAACCCTCTCCCGCATGCACGGCAAACGTATCTTTATTTTTATTTCCAGCTCACAGCACTTAGGAGGCTTCCCCCTACCCCCAGGAAAGCCACGTTTCAGAAACTGCCGTGGTCCTGGACGCACCCTCCATGGGGAAATCCACACTCCTCTCCTCTTCTCCCCTGAGGCTGGCATGGGCCCTCCAGCCCCGGCATCACACTCCTGACACCTCCCCGTGCTGCAGCCACAGCTGGGGGACGGGGATGAGGAGCACCTTGCAGTTCCTGCCACCTTTCCTGCAGCTGCTCAGGGTCTGGCTCACTTTACCCACAGATCAGAAAGGCTCAGGTCCCTCAAATAAAGCTGCTGTTCAATGGCTCTGGCTCAGTGGGGCTCTGCATAGCGTGGGTAAAACCCCCCAAAGAGGGTGCTACAGGGCCAGTCTGGGGGAATCGAGCTCACCCAGGAGTCCAGAACCACCTAGAGGTACAGCACAGCCCAGCCAGGAAATTGTTTCTGCAATGTACTACCCCTTCCCCCAAGGGCTAGAGCTCTATATTTCCATTTTTAATGCAACAGCACCACTAAGAGCCCAGCACGGAAATTACACCCGTGCATACACACACACACACACACACGTATACATATATGTGTGTGTATACATATAAATATAAGGATGTTCACCTTCTTCCATTGCAAGGAAGGGCCAACACCTTCACTTGTCAAAGCTGAGGCCACCACTGCAGCCCAGATGATGCACAGGAATGGGATCCCGAGCCCAAATTCCCCCCCTGGGAGGGAGCAAGGATGCCGAGCGTGCAGTGCTCAAGGAAGAACACGAATGGCATGGCATGAGGCCACAGGGACTGCCAGGACACGGCTGTGCCAGGCATTACCAACGTCCACGGGGAGGTAAAAAGTCACTTGGCAGCTGGGCCAGCCACAAGGTTCATCCTGCCGCTAAATTGAGCTGGGGCCCCACTCGCCCGTGCATTTTAGCCATCCCAACCGTGATGCTCCTGAGCACAGCTGCTGCACCAAGGGAAGCAGGAAGATCTCCCAGTCCTGCTGCTCACCGTCTTGCCTGCAAAGCTGACTTCCACAAAGGGATCGACCAGGTTCTTCTTGTTGCTCTCAAAGCCAAAGATCTGCCGAACATTGTCCATGACAGCATCATCCACTGGAAAAGGAAAGAGTCTGTGACCACCTGCGGAGGCTGCTGAAACCTCAGCTACGCACGCTACACCTGGGCACTTGGCTTTATCCTGGGAGCCCGGAGGACTCTGGCTTTTCCAGTGGGCTGTCTTCACGAGCACAACCGATCGTGTTGAAGGAGAGCCATCCATACCCAGCACAGGGACTGGAAGTACCCCAAGCTTTGTGCATAGCATAGGGAAACAGCTAGGGGGGTGGCCAATTCCCTCAGCAGCTCTGCAGCAGGGAAAAGAAATCCCAGCTGCCCTCACCATATCCAAAAATCTGGTCCCATAACTGCCTGGTCTCACTAGCGAGCAGGTTTCAGCCTCCCAGGGGAGCTGAGACACTTCCAGGTAGCTGGATCCCACCTGCAATGCCTCCTGCAGGCCCAGGCTCATCCTGCGTCTCTGGATGAGGCTGAATTTCTGCTGTAAGAAATTATGTCCTCCAGGAAGCTCCTGAAAAAGCCTTGAGGAAGACCCCCGCAGCCAGGCTGAGCATGCGTGTCCCTATCGCCCCCAAAGGAGCAGCAGGTGGGGAGAGCTGCTGACCTCAGCGTGGGGTCAGCTTTACCCGGGGGGGTAAATCAGTTTACACCAGCAGACAGTTCGGCATGGTACAGCTGACCAATATCTGCAAGGTCTTTGGACCAAGGCTGAGGAGAACATTTCCTTATCCGAACCCTTATTCTTATCTTGTGCCTTGCAGCACCCCACGGTGCCGAGGGCTGGATCCTCCGTACTCCAACCCAGCAAAGGCAATGCTTACTCTGGGGTAGGTCTTCAGCTTTGAAGATCTTCAGGGAGAAGTGAGCCCCTCTCAAGGTGACCCCCGTGGGACGCAAGATATTCCCTTCAATATCTTCCTTGTCTTCAGAGATTTCCTTCTTCTCTATCTGTAGGACAACAGGAGCCATCAGGAAAGACAAGGGGACTAAGGCTTCTCCCAAAGCCCTGAAACGAGCAGCAGAGACCTGCAAGTAGTGTGACTCCTGGCACCTTGCCCCACCACGTACGACACTCCTGATTGAAATCAGAGGAAGGTCCAAAGCCACGGTTTCCCTGGGAGCAGCACCAGGGTCCCCAGCATGTTGTGTCACCTCGCACACATGGGGTTACACATGGAAAGCTCCATTTAAATAACTACAGGTAGATTTGGGGGTTTTTTTGCAGTGTATAACGATGAAGGCACTGGCCAGCCTGCATGCCCGCAGCATCGGAGGAGCAAGCTCATGACATTTTTCCCCTTGCACACGGAGAGGATTTGACCCCCTTGCGCAATGTGAGGCCGCGCCAAAGGCCGGCGAGCAGGAGGCAGAGCCCGGAGAAGCGCAGGGATCAGGCCACGCTCGTACCACGCGTTCCAGGGAACCACCCTGCCTCCGTCGGGATCGGGCTGGCACTTACAGGAGCTTCGTCTCCGGGCCCCAGCACGAAGAGGCTGACTTTCAAGTAACCTTTGGCCCCCGCCGAAAAATCCTCCGGGTCAGAAAGCAACAGCCATTTTCTGAGAAAAGCATGTTCTAAGGGAAGGGAAAAAAGAAAATTGTGAGCTAGGCCCTAGACGCTCACAGAATTAGCGTAAGGGTTGTAATTTGTTTTTTTTTTTAATAATAAAAATGAATGTTAGAGGGAAGACAAAGGGGTGGTGATGGCAGATATAGGCACATATAGGGGTTCACATATGGAAATGCGCGCGGCAGACAGTTCATAGATGTTTGTGCTCACGCTCTCGCTGCATGTAGCTGTATAGGCACGTATAGATATATGCACACGTGTGAGCACACAGATGTGTGCACATATGTACACTAATGTGTGTGTACCAATGTTTGCATACATAATTATACGAGTGCCTGGGGGTGGGAATCAATGCTTAGGGATAACTGTGGTGTGTGCGCGTGTTCCTCTATGTTTGGCCCAAAAAAAAAGCTTTCTCAGAAAGTTCTTCCCCAGCTGCAGAAAGCAAACTTGTCCCAAATCTTTAATGCCTGCGGCAACCGCTGAACTCACTCGGTTCAGAATAAATCGTCTCGACATCCATCTGTAAAACGAAACGGAAAAGAAAAGCCAACGTTCACCTCGTGCTATGGATTAAAGCGACAAGGGGAGAGCAGATAGCAAATCCTTACCCGAAACTCCCCTATCACCGAGTCTGTCCGGAAAGACCGAGAATCAACAACCTGCGGGATGAAAAATAGGCAAAACACTAAATTCAGCTCCGGGAAAAAAGGAAAGAAGCTCCCGCCCTCTCTGCGTGCAGGACCCCAGCGCTGCCTGCACGCACAGGGCCGAGAAACGGCGAAAACCTCCGGCAACGAAGGCTGCTCAAACTTACTGTGATGAAGATAGGCACATCGAACAACTCGGCTGGTGACTCAAAGACATTGAAGAAGAAGGTCTGTACAAGAGAGAGGCGAGGCGAAGGTCTGAAAGCAGCCACAAAAGCAACCCCCTGCCCCTGCTTTAACCCACAGCACGTTCCTGCCTCCGTGCTGTTCCCAAACTTCCTGGCTCTGCTGGCCAGAGCCCTTTTCCAGTCCTGTTAAATGAGATCCCAACTAGTTGATAGCAAAACCCTCCTGGAGAGGATGTCCCAACAGGGGCTCCTGATGCACCATGATGAGCAAGGTCTTTGGACTGGCTTTCACCATCCCTGTCTGCAGAAGCATTTCTGGACCTTTCTGTGAGGCTCCGCATGCTCTCAGAGGAGCAATGAAAAAAATACAGGGACATTCAAAGTGGCATCGTACACGGTTTGGGGACAGGACTGGGGACAAGACGACTGAGCCTTTCCTGATGCCCAACAGGAGCAGAAGTCCTCGCTCACCTCATCAAAGAAGGGGCTGTTGCCTTTGCGTATCCTGGTCCTCTTCGTCTGCCCGGCAGCTGTGACCTTCACCACGGGTTTGATGTTGACGCCAGGGAGCTGCCTGCCCTCAATGACT